TATTTATTTAATTTGTGCTCCGCCCATTCAGTCCACTGACTACTCTGGGCTGCTAACAACATAAACAAATTAAACCATTTAAAATATAAAACAAGCAATGCAACAATAGAGAAGGACTCAAGATTAAAAAAAAACACAAAATAAATCAAGAGGTGGCTGGAGGGAAGGCTTGCCTAAATAGCCAGGTTTTCAGTTGGCCCAAGAAAGGAAAGGTTTGTGTGGAGCTTAAGTACCCCCCCCCCTGGAAAGGTGCGGGGGCCAGAGAGAGTATCTGCCTCGTTTCGGCAGGTCTCTTGACTCCGATGTCCATAATTCCCCTCGGGGTTATCCTGGCAGATACCCCGGGGAGAGGTTTGCGCCCAGTCCTTCCGAGGGTAAGCCTCAAGAAGGGAGGGACGACTAGCCTTCTCTTGGTACGGCGGAAATCAGAGCGGCTTCCCTCCCAGTCGTCGGGAGGGCAGACTTGAGGAATGAATGGTTCGGGACGGTTCACCTGCCCAAATGAAAGCCTTATTACCTAAGTGAAGAAGAGCGGTACCGGTTGACCGTCAGTTCAACATTTCCCAACTCGCTATCAGGGCCAGGAAGGTTTCTGAGTGCAGTCCTAACTAAGCATGTTTGCTTTGGGTACTGTTTTGATCAGGGGAACGTGATTCATCTGCACTTTTCACTTCTGCTTGGCACAGAATGCTTAAAACGCTTAACTCTTACAAAAGGATCGTGAGAGTTGGGGTGGGTAGGTGCTTACTTTATCAGTATTATTATATAGCACTCATTTTATGCACAGTTTCTTTCCAGTTGTTCCCTAACTTGCCTTCCAAATATACTTGTGCAGTATGTTGTCAGTTAAAGGAGCTTACAGATTCAAAAGAGAGCATTGCAAACAAATGCAAAGGAAACTGTATCCCTCAAAGGGTATGTTACTGTTTGAGGTGTAGCAGGGCTTGTTTCTGTTTTGCACACAAGACTCTGTAAATAACAAAGACAGCCTGGGAAGGGGGTTCCCATTTAAAGCACACACACACACACACATCCCAAATCTTGTTTGGAAGAAACGACTAAACGACTAAACACACACTTGGATGGGTAGCAAAATGTTTAAAGGTAATAAGAAAGAAGTCCAGTTGCCATGACTCACCTGGATGATTGAGAATCTTCACAGATATATCCCAAATCTTGGTTTATATACATAGTTACTTTTACTTTTACTTTTATTGAATTTATATCCCGCCCCTGTTGAGGATGTTTTCCTGGGCTCTGCAGTGTTACTTGCCAACACCTTGTATGGGTTCACGGAGGTGAATAGCAATGAGCTCCTAACTTCACATCTGCCCCAACCCATAAACTCTCTGGGAAGTTCTAGTAAGCAAAGCTAATAGCTATAGTATTTACATGAAATTTATTTCAAAATTGTGATTGTGAGGAGTTTGATATATCAGAAGATTTTATTTGAATTTCTGACGTTTTGTGTGCGCGTGTGTGTTTAAAGCACTTGAAAGGTTCTGATAAATTTAATGTCTTTTTCATGTGAAGTAACACTGGGCTTCTTGATATTCTGAAAAGAGTGAACTTGAGCTCATTGGGGAATTGTAGCCAATTAGGGTTTCCTAAACTATGTTCCTCATGTTCAGGGATACGTTGACTTTTCACAGATATAGAGAGAAAGACCAACAGAACTGTCAGACTACCTTCAGGCACACATTTAAATTATTTCAGTCATCTAGTTATGCACAAAAATGACAAACTAACCTCTATTATGCATACTGATATTAATTTAATAATTATTTTTAAATCCTGGCTTTTTTGTATTTAAGAAGATTCCCAAGAAACAGCCAACAGTTCTTCAAAAAACATAATGCTGTACAGTACAACAAATAAAAATGCATCATTCTTTGATAAGTGATTTCAACCTTGGTTCATAACCACAGTACAATAGTGTTTTAAAATAAAGTTGTCAAACATTAATTAATTAATTAATTAATTACATTAAGGAGCAAGCAGTTCTCTATTTCCTGAAAAGTCATGTTCTTTTCATCCCTGAAAAAAAATTTTTTTTTTCCTGATGCAGAAGAAACCAGAGAATTAGAAATGCTGTCTTCTTCAGAATAAAGACTGACAGTTGACCATTTATAGTGCATGTCTCAAAAAAAGTATATCTGCACAAAAACAGGAAAATGTTCCTTTGGGCTATTACTCTTTAGTAACTAGATGGGCTGGATAGCTCTGTGGTCTGACTGCAGAGCTGGAGGTTGGAAGTTTAATTCCCCACTGTGCCTCCAGTGAGTAGAGTCAGTCTATGTGGCTTTGGACAAGCTGCACAGTCCCAGGATGCCCCCAGAAGAAAGGAATGGTAAATTACTTCTGAGTATTCTCTACCTGGAAAACCCTGAAAAGGGTCTCCATTAATCAGAATTTGTTTGATGATACATTATTATTTATTATTAGCTAAATGTAGCTTTAGCTGTAGAATCCCACTCTTGCGTCGGAAGCATCAGATTGCACTGAATTGGACATTGTTGAATACAGAAGCAAATTTTTTTAGCAGGAATCTGATAATCACTTCATATTCTCATTGGAGAATTCTGAAATTATAGTTATTCTGAAATTATAGAAATTATACTGAAATTATAGAAATATCAATGTTGTACAGTATATCGGAATTATAATACATATTCACAATTTATTATGTGAACTAGCAAAATTTTCCTTCACCACAGAATGCCCGTTTTCAGTCTGAAGCTAATCAATTTTCCATAGCATTCCATCTCTGGGAACAGTGACTTGTTTATACCAAATCTACACAACCTGTAGCCCTCTGCAGCTGCCTGTGTGGCCTCTGACACTGGGAGATGCAACTCATCTTTCCTTATTATCCAGTTAACCATGTCCATGTGCACTTTCTACCCAATTCCCCAGTTGATACTAGGTGTGAACTGATTTAAATTATAGGAAATAACAAGAACAACAGTGGCTAGAATGCAAGGTGTTCTGCTACTGTAGACATAGATAATGTTCTATGGCATTGTGTGAAATTGTACCTGTTTGTAGCTTCATAGCAGTGTTTGGCAAATCAGCAAAAAACTGACACATTTCTGTAAAAAGAAACTTTTTTAAGAAAAAGAAAGGATGCTTTACAGCAGTGGTTCTTAACCTTGGGTTACTCAGGTGTTTTTGAACTGCAACTCCCAGAAACCCCAGCCAGCACAGCTGGTGGTGAAGGCTTCTGGGAGGTGCAGTCCAAAAATACCTGAGTAACCCAGGGTTAAGAACCACTGCTTTACAGTGTTAGGTTTTTCATCTTACATTCAATATGTTGAATGCATAATAAACATCCTGACTCTGTTGTACTACTAGTTCTACCCTATTGGCAATAATGTTTGTTCCTCTCCTGGAAAATTGATGTGTATACAGTTCCTGCTAGGAAGTGACATATAGGTACTTATATGGATAGTGGTCTTAAGCCTTCCTAAAAAACTAGGTCAGCATGGATACATTGATATGTAAAGGTAAAGGTTCTCATCTTCTGACCTTGTGGCACAGAGGCTTCTGTGGTTTAACCCGCAGCGCCACCACATCCCCACATTGATATGTGCTTTATGTTAATACACATTGTAGGGAATGATGAAGTTTGGCAAATGTAATAATAATAATAGTGTGCACTACAGGAGTGGGAGAGAAATGGAGAGTTATTAGTGGCAGTATAAATGGACAGTGATTAATACTATAATAATAATAATAATGATGGTGATGGTGATGGTGATGGTGATGGTGATGGTGATGATGTGCATGCTGTTAATTCAATTCAAATTAATAGTGACCCTTTCCAGGGTTTTCTCAATATAAACCATTCAGAAGTAATTTACCATTTCCATGGCTCTGGAGCCATATAGCTTGACCGAGCCATATAGGTTGGCTCTTCTCCCAGGAAGCACAGTAAGAAATCAAAATCCCAACCCCTTCAGCCAGCATTGTTATGTTTCATGCAGCTTACATAGCAATTGGTGATTGAAGATATATTGTATACTCATTGCCTGAAATCTTATTGGTGGGCACCATATAATTTTATGCAATGTAAATGATAAGCTTCTGTCAATAGAACAAGAAGTAACAATTTGAAGGAAACATAGTAGCATAGTATTGTTGAAAATCACATGAAATCTCTCTCTCTACCTCTCCCCCTCTTCTTTTAAAAAGATCTTTAGTCTTGATCTTGGAGGTATATCAGCAATTGTATTAAATGGATATGATACAATAAAAGAGTGCCTTGTTCAACAAAGTGAGATTTTTGCAGACAGACCATCTCTTCCTTTGTTTAAGAAGCTGACAAAAATGGGAGGTATGTGCTATTGTCACGACTGTGACTTTTTAAAAAAATCAAAACTTATTATTCCATTAAATAATTGTTCTAAATGTATAGAATGCTTTATAGAGATTATATTGAAGAATCGTTTTTTCACAATCCCTATTTTCTGAACTGGTCTGTAGAATTCATAAAACTGTGTTGTTAAGGTCAGAGGTGATAAATGCAAACACAAAATTGCCTATTGATAAGTACTATTGGAAGCACCATAATTTTGAAGTCTTTGTGTTAGAAACATGCTTTGGACAGAATCTGAACTTGCTCAGCCACCACTTAAATTTCTGAATATATTTCTAATTGTTCACTCTATTTCTAATGTTCAGAGAAGAGGAGAAGAGTGTTGTTTCTTATGTAGGCAAAGCTATACCACTGATAAGTGGGAAGTATCACCAGATTCAGGGAAATGCTGACATATCCACAAGTAAAAAATGTAAACATTGTTCCTCGGGATTAAAGGGAAAAGGCAAAGAAACAAACAAATTAAAAAAAACTGGATGCATGTGTGTTCACAGCAGGCTATGAAAGAGACTGACTAGTAATATTTTAAAAATCTCAGCCAATTAGGACTTTGTAAAATAAATATTATTACCCTGTTTCCCCAAAAATAAGACCTAACCTGAAAATAAGCCCTAGTATGATTTTTCAGGAAGCTTGTAATATAAACCCTACCCCCAAAATAAACCCTAGTTAAGCAAAACCCCACCCTCCAGCATTGTGCAGCAACCAGAAGATGACATGACTGTATTTGAATAAATGTAGATTGTTGTACATGAAAAAAAATCCCCTGAAAATAAGTCCTAATAGGTTTTTTGGAGCAAAAATTAATAAGACCCTGTATTTATTCTTACTCCATAGACTTCACACCACACTTCACTTAACAAAGTGGACTAGAGCTAATTCAAACTATACAATCTAACTCTGAAAGTAATATTCAGTATATAAAATGCTGAAGTAAAAACTGACTTCTCCCCAAAATCTCTACACATGTTTGTGGGAACAATCACATGAACTCTGAAATACATGGGCTATACAGATTAGCTCTTCTTTGAGGCTGTCAAAATGAATAAATAAATACATAGTTATTAAGACTAATTTAGATTTAGAGGTATAATACCCAAGATATTACAGTGATGCCTTGAGTTGCAAACTTAATTCGTTCCGGGATGATGGTTGTAACTCAAGTTGGTTGTAACTCAAAGCACCATTTCCCATAGGAATACACTGAAATGCAATTAATCCATTCTGGCCATTTTTAAAGGTTAAAAAAGGGCAGGAAAGGAAGGAGGGAGGGAACAATTGGGAAAAGAGGAAAGAAAGAAGGTCATCACTGGGTTACACAGACCCCCTCAGACATAAGTTTGTGCTTTAGGCACAAAAAGAGAGAGGATAGAGAGAGAGAAGGCTATGGGGGAGGGGGAGAGTTTGGAGTCTAAAACAAACAAAAAAACCCATTCCAGCAGGGACTAAAATGCTACCCTGCAAGACCCATCAAAGCACTGAAAAATAACCCCCCCAAACAAACCCATTCCAATAGTTAGCAGTTTAAATTCCTGCCTTTCCCCCCACCTTTTTTTCTGATTGTATCCCAAAGCTCCAGTTGCAAATCAAACCAAAATTTTGCAACTAGAGTTGGTCGTAACTCGACTTGGTTGCAAGTCAGGACGGTCATAAGTCGAGGCACCACTGTAATGCAAAAGTGGTTAATCCGTCCACTAAAGGGAGACTTTTTTAACCTAAGATGACCTCTAAGGTTAAAAAGGGGCAGGAAAGGAGAGAGGGAGGGAGAGAACAATGGAGGAAGAGGCCTTTTTTCCAGTTGCATCTCAAAGCACCGGTTGCAAGTCAAAGCAAAATGTTGTGACCAGAGCTAGTTGTAACTCAGTTTGGTTGCAAGTCAAGACAGTTGTAAGTCAAGGCACCATATCGTATTCTTAACAAAATATGCAACCGCAGTAGATATCAAACATACCCAGAACAAGGCTCCATATTTCTCTTGACAATAATACTCATACACTTGTATGTTTCTCAGCCCATATAAAATCTGAAATATATACTACTGAATTAACTCTTACGTTTATATGTACTATTATAAAAATATATCCAATTTCAAATAGTTTCCATTTTGGCATTTCCAGTACACATGAATAAAATTTCCCTTAGATATATCCCAAAACCAACTATCCATATAATAACAACTATGTGCTGTCAGATCAGTTCTGACATACCTTTTCAGGGTATTCCAGGTAAAGAATACTCAAAAGTTGTTTACCATTCCCTTCTGGAGGTGCCCTGGGTCCGTGGAGCTTCCCCAAGACTGTCACTGAGCTATCCCGACAACTCTCAGTTCACATAGTTTTAGCCTGAAAAACATTTTTCAGGTTTCCATGCAACATTGTGTGCATGTGGAGCTCCACTTACTCAAAAGTTTTTATTTGCTCCTCCCTGTCTCTTCCACGTACTCCGGAGGGCCTTCCAGGCCTCTGGAGGAATCTATTCTGTTCTTTGTAACTTGGTTACAAAGCTCTGTGTTGGACAATGGATACTATAAAGCAGGCTTTTTTGTTCTCTTTTCAGTCTGAGATCTGTATATAAATAGGTATTTCCAAATTTCAGCGATTTCATTCTGTTAGTCTTCTTCAAAATAAATTGCCCCCAACACATTCTAAAATATTGATTTGTGGTTGTTGTTTTTTTGAGGTAATAATTTTGCTTTTGACATTTCCCCCAAATAATGTTGAACCTCTTTAAACTTTGTATTCTTCTTTTTAAGCATTAAAGACATTTTACTTGAACTGATTGAAAATGGACAATACAATTAATCTAATTCACTATTCATTTTAAACTTGCCTATAAATCTCTGTATTTCCTCTATAGCCAAAAGTTCAAAAAAGGTCAGGTAAACTAAATTTAGAAAGATGTCAAAGGTAATATTGTAGTATTATGATTTACTACATTAAGCAACAGGATTTTAGCTACTGATATAAAACAAAATTCTGAATGTGAACTGCCCAGTCAGAATATGTTACATTTCCTCGGTGCCTCTGAGAGTCCTCCAGCATTAATTAATTAATTAGTATAGTATCAGCCTAACAAGAATAGGATACCCATTGAGTAATTATAAAACAATTACTGAAGTCACATTGGCATAACTATGACTCTGGAAAAGTGATGATGTTATCAGTGGGGAGCCATTTTTTTATACATTACAGCTTCTACTCTGCAGTTTTTCCCATTCCCATGTAATCCTTTTTATCATGCAGAAACTGTGATAACTGGAAGATGGAAAGAGGAAATTTTTAGTTACCAAAAGTTAATGCCACTGAATAATATTACTGGTAGAGAGCAATTTTCAGCTACTAAAGACTTTCTCCTTCTGTCTTATGGCTCCTATGGCTTCCACACAGTGAAATAAATTATGTGGAAATCAGAAAAGCTGCAACATGGAAATTCTGAATTACTGAAAATCATTCCTTCATGGTCATGAAAATCATTCCTTGATGGTCATGTTGTTACCCTTATACAGGTGTAAGTTATTGCCCAGAATTTAAGCCAGTGGGCTAAATCCAGTAGTTAATCCTACTTGCAGTAGACCGAATGAATGAGACTTCAGAAATCAGTACATATGGCAAACCCATTGACTCAGTGGGTCAGCTGTAGCTGGGATTAATAGTTGCATCCAGAGAGATACTTTAGATATATCTACTGGGATTTTTGCTCCCCCCCCCCGACTCATTATTGAATAACAGATTTTCATACCAGAAGGTGCTTTTATGGGCTTCCTCGTTTTTAAAAGCAGTTTACCTTGTAGGTATAGATAGGAAAGCGGTGGGGATTGCTGTTGAAGAAAGATAAACCACCCATCTGTTGGATTTGGAAAAAAAAGTTACATTGTTTGTATCCTTGACACATCAATATCAGCTTTCCCTCCTCTATTTTTGTAACTGTGAATATTATCAATCTGTTACATTACATTTTTACAAGGAAGCTAGCCTCTGAATTGCTTCCTAGAACTTCAGAGAAGAAATAAGGAAGGCTAAGCAGTACTAATAAGAGTACAATTTCTAAACACACTGTTCTCAAATTGCTGTAAAACCAGAGTATAACTGTGAAGTTATTACCACAAGAATTTTACTGTCGTAAATTTGGGATACGTGCCACATCTTTCATATGAATTTGTATATAAAAATTTAAAAAATCATATCAGTGAAAGAGAAAATGAAACAAGGAAAAGCTCTAGGTTATTGTATAGTTTGTATACTGATACTTGTGTATTTCAGGTCTGTTGAACTCAAGATATGGAAGAGGTTGGACTGAGCATCGCAAACTAGCTGTAACTAGCTTTCGTATTTTTGGATATGGTCAAAAGTCCTTTGAAAGCAAAATATCAGAAGAATCTGTGATTTTCCTTGAAGCCATTGATACTTATAAAGGAAAGCCATTTGATTTGAAATACTTGATAACAAATGCAGTTTCAAATATTACTAACTTGATCATTTTTGGAGAGCGGTTTACATATGAAGACACTGAATTTCAGCATATGATTGAAATATTTAGTGAAAATATTGAACTGGCTGCCAGTGCTTCTGCATTTTTGTATAATGCTTTTCCATGGATTAGTATTCTGCCCTTTGGAAAACATAAACAACTCTTCAGAAATGCAGATGAAGTCTATAGCTTTCTGCTACACCTTATTCAGCGTTTTTCACAAAACAGAAAACCTCAGTTACCTCGACATTTTATAGATGCATATTTAGATGAAATGGATAGAAGTAAAACTGACCCAGAGTCTACATTTTCAATGGAAAATTTAATTTTCTCTGTTGGAGAGCTCATGATCGCTGGAACAGAAACAACAACAAATGTTCTAAGATGGGCAGTTTTGTTCATGGCTCTTTATCCTAATATTCAAGGTAAATGTTATGCTGGTGCTATGACATCTTTGCACTTACCGTTTAAGGACGTGTTTTCCAAGCAGAGCACTTTTAGTATCAATGGTAATCATTACCAGTATTAAAGAGAGGATTCTTCTGTTAATCATTCAGTAAGATTTGGAACCATAATATAGCCAGGCTTTATTTAGTCTTTAAAGATTTGGGGTATTTTCCCTTTTGAAGTTTGAGATGTATTATACCTTGATAGGAAAACTGGGTTTATAAGTTCAAGAAGTAGTCAGCACAACTTGAAAGTAGCCTTTCCCAGCAAAATGTGATTTAAATATGTTGAACTACACTTCTGATATCCCACAGCCAGCCATGGATGACTTTTAATGTTTTTAGCATGAGCTCCTTCTAAATCTTTTACTCTCTGCTGTTTCATATCCCATTTAGGGAAGGAGAGTGGATTATACATCTAATAAATGGATACAACTCTTTATTACGTGCTTTGAAGCTAGTGTTTTTGGGGGCAGGGTGACGGAATCAGGAAGATAAGCAAGACTTGGCCATATTTGCAGAAGAGCAAGGAGATCTTGCTGAGCTGAATATTCTATAGCTTGAATTTTTTCTTAATGTTGCCCAAGAAGCAATAAGGGAGAAGTAAGGTTTCAGGCACTCATTGTGATGCTTTACTACAACTGCAGATTTGGTGCCATGTTAGATATTAATAGGTGGGTTATATGCCATCAAGTTGAAACTGATGTGTAGCAACTCTAATAGGGCTTTTAAGGTAAGATATTTAAGAACTGTTTGTTTTTTATTCAAATTCCATCCTCCCCCCCCCCGCACCACTGAGTTTCCATGTCCAAATAGGGATTTGAACTCAAGTCTCCTGAGTCCTAGTCTGGCCACTCTATTCATCTAATTTAAATTTTATGGAGAGTGTAGAATAACTGCCCAGAGCAGTGCCTCAGCACTAATGGGAGCAAGATACCAAACAAACAAACATAATTATTGTTTCTGTCTCTGGGGGGTAAAAGGTCAGTTGAAACATTGAAATTATGTGTGCACAAATTCTTTAATGCAGGAATTGAGATAAGAAGTACCATGGTTTAGTGATGGAACAGGTCTTTTGCATGAAGAAGTTTCTTTGATAAAGACACAGGAAAGCTGTTGTCAGGCAGAGGGGACAATACCGTGCTAGATGAGCAAGGAAACAACAGTCTTGCCATATAAAGCAGCTTACTATGTTTCTTGCTAAACAGGATTTTCCAGGGGAATGAAAAGGACTAGGACTAGACATCCGTATTGCTAATGAGATGTACTGTAAATTATGCTGATCTGTTAGTTTTTCATTGTACGTGCACTGACTGCAGAACTGGAACAGGGTCAGTTCCAGGGGAGAGGACATTACAGCCTAATAATGGGGCTAGGCCAGAGGAAATGGACAATGGATGTGACTGATGTGCCTGAAATACCTAGGAATAATGTCTTGCTGATAAGGTGCTTTACTTGCTGAAAATATGTTAAAATATATGAAAGGAAAACATGACATCTGAGTGATAGCTGCATTAATTGGTAGCAAAAGGTGTTCTGTGGCACTCTTATGTTACAACAGTTAATTTTTAAATTACTTTAAATTCTAGCCTATTTTCTTTAATGTCCTAAGCTGATGTGTAGCAGAGGGTTGCTTACATACAGACACAGACACAGACAAACACAACTTAGTTATAATGAAAACATGCTATAAGTGCAGGAGACAGCAGTCAGTGTGTTCTAAGCTGATCGGTAATCACGAGGTGAAATTAGGAACAGGCTCTGCAAATATACTGTAATTTTGTATTTTAAATTGTGAAAACAAAGATGATGTTGACTTTTTAAGACAAAACATTACTTAAGAAACTAAAAGCCTTTTCTTTTAACAGGGCAAGTTCATAAAGAGATTGATTTAATTGTTGGGCCAAACAAAACACCCTGCCTGGAAGACAAATGTAAAATGCCATACACAGAGGCAGTACTGCATGAAATTTTAAGATTCTGTAATGTAGCTCCGCTAGGTATTTTCCATGCAACTTCTAAGGATACAGTTGTGCGTGGTTACTCTATTCCTCAAGGCACTACAGTCATTACAAATCTCTATTCTGTGCATTTTGATGAAAAATACTGGAGTAACCCTGAAATGTTTTGTCCTGAGAGGTTTTTGGAGAGCTCTGGACAGTTTGTCAAAAAGGAAGCATTTATTCCATTTTCTCTAGGTAAGAGTAAATACTTATTCCTAAATGTAGAACTGACTAACATATGAATAGTCATTACAAGGTAATATTGAAGAGTCCGTTTTTAAAATACTCTGTTTTCCTCAACTGTGTTTGTAATTACAGATAACTTTTGTTTTCAGTTGTAAGCCAAAACACAAATTTGAGAATGAAAACATGATTGAACTAAGTACTTTTTGTTTGCTTGCAGTAGACGTGGCCACATATTAAGCTGCAGTAATCCAGTGTCATACCAGTGGAGCCTAAATTCTTACTAGTGGAAATGTGCTGTTAGACTGTTACTCAAGCAGTAGCATGAACAGTACTGCAAGCGTGCAGTCTGTGTTTTTACATTGGAATCTGGATTGGATATTATCCTTGCAAATACTCTGTAAATGTGTGTGGGGTAGCCCAGCCAGCTTTGCACTAATGCAATGACACCATTGGATACAGGCCTCAATATCATACAGTCCTTTGTTTGATCATTGCATGTGGCGCACACATAGACACACAAAACTAATCTGAGAAGATAGAACATTAATCTCTTGACTGATTTTTTCCACAACTTTGTGCTTACCTTTCTGTTTTCTCTTCTCTTGCTATCCTCATGCCTCAGTGACAAAAATCCTGTTGCATAGCTACACCAGACGGAAGGTGCAGTAACTAACTGAATTGCCACTATTCCTCAAAGTATGCTAGCTGGCAGCTTCATGCATGACCAGAAATTCAAACAGGGACTTGTTAATTAGTGGTAATTTGCAACTGTGAGCTATGTCATCTACCTTCTATTTGCATACACAATAGGGTTTTGGCCAATATCTTCCAAACATTTTGTCTGCACCACCTGACGACAGTGAGAAAAGAAGGTTCTTGTGCTATTTAATCTTAATATATGTGCTGAATGTTCTCTTTCTTTCCAGCCTCTTCTCCATGCTGAAATAGGCTTCAATTTTACTTGCTAAATTGATATTTGTCTTAAAAATGAGTTCTAATTTGTGTGCTCACATTCTAGAAGAGTGTATACACACCTGTTAAGAAGCATTAGAGAAATAGTGTGTCCCCCAATCCTCATTTTATTGCTTACCTAAAGGTTATTTTGCTTCATGAAAAATTGCACAATTTTGGCAGCTGCAGTATTTGGCTTTATTGAAAACTTTGTTATAAGACTTGGATCTTCCTGTAATAGATGCATTAATTTGGAAAGTAACATCTGGATCCTTTACAGGCATTGTATAAGCATAGTGTGTTCCTCGCAGATGAAAATTGTACTCTGGAAGAACCTTATTAGAGCATGAACTGTCCAGACAATTTCATTCATTGTCTGACTTTGAAAGTAATAGTAAAACTAGTTTTTGATAGGAAATATGCTAAAATATTTTCATTACAGAACATTTTAAAGAACTTAAGTGAACTTGAAGAGAATGAATAATGACATTTTCTGTATGACACTTTTCATGTGGTCATATGGAAATCATATGTAAAATCGAACAAACTCATATTTGGTTTTATCATATATCAACATTTTACTAAGATATGCTTTGACTTTTTAAAAATTTGTACATTTATTATGGACATGTCACATTTATCTTTGACTTTTTTTCTTCTCAAAAGAATCGTTCAACGTAGTTTCTTTTCTTTCCTCTCCTGCTTAGGACGAAGACACTGTTTAGGAGAACAGCTGGCCAGAATGGAAATGTTTTTATTTTTTACCTCCCTGCTTCAGCGATTTCATCTGCATTTTCCTAGTGGCTCGATGCCAAACCTCCAGCCCAAGTTAGGCATGACATTACAACCTTATCCATATTTTATATGTGCAGAGAGGCGATACTAAATACCTATGCTGCGGCAACAGTTCAAAGTGTGAAACTCTAGCAGATAGAGTCTGGTGAAAGGAACAAATGCTGCCTTGATCAAACCTACTAAATTCAGTCCAAGGTAAACAAACACTGTTCCATCCCCTCTGAATACACTATAAAACATAGAATTTATAGGATACACAAGATGAATAATGAGCTTAATTTTTGAGGTCAGGGAATGAAGAGTCTCTTCCTAGGTCCTCTGTTCTATTCAAATGTAGGGATTGGGGTGGCAGGTATGGTTTAGCAAGAACTGAATCACATGTCCCTTGAAAAACTCCCAACAGAGTTATGAGCACCACTATATAACTACTTTAGTCCATATCTTATTTCTGTTGTGGCCACCCATTCAAAACACATCTGACTTGAAAGTTATATAAGTGGCTACTCCTTAACTGGCCAGTTCGAACATGAATACACTGTTGGTTTGAAGAGTACACACTGGCAAACAGTACTTTAGATAGAATATGTCTATGGGCCTATCCACACTGGGAAATTTAGTGAAGTCCAGTTCATGCTTAAAAGGTTCTTATCTCAACTGCAATCTATTTTAATTCTCACTTGAGCAATCATTCTGTCAAGACTGGAGATCTTGCTATGGTTCCTCTTCTCTGGTGCTATAGATCTATACAAAGCAAGGTTCACCTGGTTTGCTTGTGAGTAAGGAGGAAACAGCAGTAACAATAACAGGCAAGTACAGCTGCAGTGAGAGGAAATAACATTGGGGTGAGGGTTGGGGAGACAGAAGGGAGGTAACTCCCCATTTTCCAGCCTTTTTCCTTAGTCAGGGATCTACTAGGGTTGTGCTGCCTTAGGCAGAGCCCAAGGAGTCAACATAGCCCCCTTCCCTGCCTTTTCTTTTAGACCTCATTCAGGAGGCTTTGTTTGTTAAAAGATTAAAAGGCATACTGAAATCAGCCTGGCATGTGTTTAGAATTTCACTTCATTGGTTAGGGAAATATTAAAATAAAAGACAATGAAAACAAAGGAGAGTGTTTCTCCACCCTCCTTTTCAATGCCACAACCCACCTAATACATTACAGGATTGTCTCCTCAGTTAACACCACCCCCAGTGTCATTTTGGTGAAAGTACCTGTTCGGGAAGGCTAAACAAAGAGCTATTTTGCATCTTAATGAATCATGCCAAAAAGGTTGCATGCTCTAGCCCTGTGCCCATTTGGTGTGGGACAACTCTTAAAGGAAAAGGATGGATTGTTCTAAGTAGAAACATAAGTGGATGAGGGCTTTTTTTCTATTTCATGCCAAACAGTGCCATCAGAGTTCCATTAACTATATGCCAGTGTGAACATGCTCAAAGTGACAGTGTCTGAGTGCTTCTGCAGGTACAACTCACTGATATATGAAGTAAGCTTGGTTAAAGACATGAACTGAAAAGCTGATAAGGTGCTTGGATAGTTGTGCATATTACATACATAGATATACGTATCTAAATAACTTGCCTTGTTTTAAATTAACACTCCTATTTCAAATGCAGATGAAATTTATTGCTGCATTTTGGGTGGCAGAGGAGAGTTGTCACATTTTAAATTGTCTACAAGCAGGAATAATACTGTAGGCACGAACATAAAGCAATTATCACAGCACTTTAGATCTTGCTACCCTGTTTCCCTGAAAATAAGCCCTAATATGATTTTTCAGGATGCTTGTAATATAAGCCCTACCCCCAAAATAATCCCCGGTTATCTTCCACCATTGTACAGCAACCAGAAGAAGTTGACATGACTGTATTTGAACAAATGTAGATTGTTGAACATGGAAAAAAAATCCCCTGAAAATAAGCCCTAATGGGTTTTTTGGAGTAAAAATTAGTATAAGACCCTGTCTTATTTTCAGGGAAACACAGTACTTGAAATATTTGTTCAGAAGCAAAACATTTTTATATTTAAGAACCACTTAGATCAGGTTTTCATTTGTAATAAAAATCCAGCAACAAATGTCCATAAATTCCACAATAGAAAAACTGCAAAAAAGATCTGGATGGATATTGGTTGCTTGAAGCAGCACCATTAGGTTGCCTTGGTTTTTTTCTCTTTTTTTTAGGATAATTTGTTTCATAAAGCTTTGTGTTTCCCATTGATTAAGGTGGAAGATTACAGTATGGTTGTAACTATTACAGTTTTTACACAAATGGACAAAAATTATGCTAGTAAATTCTATAGTTCAGCTATGTATGAAGCCTTTGTATCTGTTCTGAATCTCTCACCTTCAGCATAAATGTGGTTTAAAGTTTTCAATAATGCTATCTCCCCCCCCTCAGTGCACTCCTGCTCATGGTATTCACAACACATATATTCCACATTAACTCAATAACCTTCAATAATTCTCTATTCCTGTATTTGAAAATGCACTTTCAGATGCGGGAAGCATCAGTGAATAGAAGATTAGTGGACGTGGAGTCAATCTGGGCAATGGGATTGTGAAAATATATAAATTAAGATTAAAGCAACCAGGACTACACTTTAGAAGGGTGCAAAATGACATGATGGAATCATATGATAGTGCAAAAGCATACACTATCAGAGGAAGAGAGAGATAAGGACATTTTTTTGTGTACACAGAGTTGCAGAGGGAGAGCAGCTAGGGTTCTGACTCTAAAGAAATCAATCCTGAGTATTTTAATTGAATTTACAAGAATGTTCAGTTTTGTTCCATGCTGAGAGAGGGAGCAAGTTCAGTGCAACTTGGAAAACAGGATCTGTTATTTCTCATCATCATATATTGCTGTAAACAAATAATGTATATCTGAAGACATAAAGCTAGTGGAAAACTGAACATTTTTGGGTGATATCTACTATCACTCAAAAGTACAAAGATTAACCTAAATAATATATAATCCAAACAAATACATAACGAACTATAACATAAACAATTAAACATATAACAGTGTTCTAAAACTGATGAAACCAATTTTAAAATGCCTACAAAAGGACTAACAAAAAAAAATCCTGCAATAAAGCGTAGTTATATTCAGTTGTTTAGAGCTGGCCTCAAAAGGAAGGAATTAACTGGCTGTCTGAAGGACAGCAGGAAGGAGACTCCTCCTATCCTTAAAGTATGATGAATATGATGAATAACATGTGAAGCAGAATTGAGACCTTGAGAAACCCCATGCCAATTATGAGCGTATCAAGCAGGCTTTCTCCAGTACCACCTGTTGAGCTCACCTCTCCAGGATGGTGCCTCCAAGTCTGTTCCAGGAAAGATGGCATATTATGGTTAATGGTATCAAAAGCCCCACAGATCATCATTGCCACGCTCCCCCTCTCCCTTTCTCTGTGTAGATCAGCTACCAAGATAACTAAAACTTTTTCTGCCCCCCTAACTGGATGTGAAGCTAAACTGAAATAGATCTAGATAATTCATCATGTCCAGGAACCTGTAGAGCCGAGAACCACCACACTCCAACATCTTGTCCACAATGGAACATTGGAGGCTGGCCAATAGTTACCCAGTATGGTGAGATGGTAGGAGGGCTTTTTCAGCAGTGGTTGTACTACTGCCTCCTTTAAGCGTGCTGGAATCGTGCTGTGCTGCAAGGAGGAATTCACCACTTCCATTAGCCAGTCAGCCACCCATTCAGCCATTCCCTTGGATGCTTTTATAAGCCAGGATAGACAAGGGTCTGCCATAAATGTGGTATCTCTTGCTTCCCCACAAGTCCTATTCATATTCTCGGGCTATACTGAAACATATTCAATTCTTCAAAAACCCTTGTTTATGAATCTGGGATATTGTGCTTATGTATCCACAATTCAAAACACCAGGAAATGGTATTTTGATATTGTTGCACAATATTGTGCCCACATGGTCAGCAGGAAAAAGGATGCCAGGCTTTATCTAGCAAAGAGCATCCTGAATGTTGGCAATGCTAATGGCAGTAGTCAATGGTCTACAGCAAACATTCTCACCTTTTTTTTTTTGCCATAGCCATAAATACAGTGTGAAAGAAATAAGCCAAATCAGGAGTGTATAAGTTGCATAAGGAACCTTATTAGGTGGTGTGTGAAGAATTGGTTCCAGTCTACGGCCCCTGTTGAGAATGGCTGGCCAATAGAATACCGTCTTGGCTCACTACCATTCACAAAGCGACATCAAGCAAGGGAAAGTCCCAGAAGTGACTCCTTTTTTTCATCAGTTAACCACTTCTCACCCAAACACAAAGCAATTGTCAGGGCTGTTTTTTCAACAGGTATGGATGGTGTGAAGTTTAAGTATGCAGCACATACAAATTCCAACAGAAGCTTTGCTCATGTAGAAATATCCAGTGATAGAGGATCTCAGATGAGCACATGATCTGTACTATGGTTGCTATGAGAGGAGAGAAGCAAGAGCAGCCAGAATTTGGCTGTAGTCCCTCTGTGCCAAAATATTTCAAAAGGCTGTTTTTTTACTTAATGAAATGGTGAAGCAAATGTGAGATTAAGTGCAACACATATAACAAAGAAACATACACACCCTTTAACCCAGTGGTCCCCAACCTTGGGCCTCCAGATGTTCTTGGACTACAACTCCCAGAAGCCTTCACCACCACCTCTGCTGGCCTGGATTTCTGGGAGTTGAAGTCCAAGAACATCTGGAGGCCCAAGGTTGGGGACCATTGCTTTAACCTCTTAGGTAACCAATTTTTGCTGTGTCCATTCTGAAGAATGCAGACTGGAAAGCTATGTTCCAATTTCCAAACCATTTCCTTGGGGCAGGCAACCTGAGGATGAAAAGCTATATCAGATCAAAAGCTCTATGAAAATGTTATGTGTATGTTTTCCGAAAGATGTCCCCTCATCTTTTGAAGTAATAATAAAAAGGTAGAGATGGCAGCTGGCAAAGATTGTCGCTGGAAACCAAGATCAAAATCATCCATGCTATGTGAAAGAAAGACAGGGACAAAAATCATCTTGTTTGAAATGTGGTACTGAAGGAGAGCCTTACAGATACCATAGACAGCCAAAAAGGCAGAAAAATGGATGTTCAATCAAGGCAAGCCGGTACTCTCCCTAGAGCAAAAAATGAGTAAACTGAGACTATCCTACCATGTACATATATAGAAAATACAGAACTTACCATAAAAGAAAATATTGCTGGGAAAAGTGGAGGCAGGTAGCAGGAAAAGCGGAAGACTTACCAAGAGATGGGCTGAATCAACAAAGAATCCACAGCTGTTAGTCTGTAAGACCTGCGCAGAACTTACTGAAAAATACAATATTGCTAGGAAAGCAGGCAGTAGGAAGAGAGAACAACCTAGCATGAGATGTTGTGAATTTGCAAGATCTGGACAGAGCTGTTAATGATAGGATATTCTGCAGGTCATTAACTCAGTCACCACACATCCAAAGTGACTTCCACTGTTAAATGCTGTGCCCAGTGGCTGTCTTCTTAACTCAATCTTCCTTGGAATTCTTGTATGTATACCGTGTGTTGTTCAGAATGGGTAGTCAAGTTATATCCATTGCAAACTGGGAGGAAAGGACCCATTAGAGTATTTTAATTGGGAGGAAAACATGTACATAGCTTTTTAAACCATTGAACTACTCTTGCTGCCAGGCAATTCTGTACTGGACTTTCAGAATAACTGTTAAATCTAAAGGACTTTGTATGTCCAACTCTATAGTTTTCTTGCAATAAGCAAGAGGATGAAGAGACACAAGAGCCGCCTAGAGTGGTCGAAATGACTAGATAGGAGGGGTATAAATACGTCAAGTCTCCATTGACCTACAGTGCATTGAAAACCGATTAATCCTGTAACAGGCCGTTTTTGTTCCATTTTGGTTTTTTTTCTGGTCTGTAAGTCAAATCTCAGTCTGCGAGTCAAACCTAAATTTTGTGGCCAGAGAAGTCTGTAACTCAAAAAGTCTGTAAGTCAAGGGTCCACTGTACTACACTGGAGTCTCTCAAATGCAGTGTAAAAACATAACCTTTAGTGTGGAGATTTGAAACACAGAGCAGCAGTCCAACTTAGAATAAATCAAGTAACTTGGAACTGAATGAGAGAACATAAAATGACAAGAATTAATAGAAGAGAAAGTTTGCAGCATCTCCAGCATTGTGGGAGGAAAACAAAGAAAGATTATTTCATTAACCTTTATAAGGAGTTTGGGGGAAAAAGTAAGCACTTACCTGTGTAGGTTAATAAGATTTTACTTGTTATAATATTATTTATTCAACATTCTATCTTTGCATTTTGTAATCAGAATTTCAGAAGCACTAGCTTCCTAGATTTCTGTAGTACAGGTTCAGTGTTTAAAAGATTCTCTCTCCCTCATGATAATAACATTGTTAAAATGGCAGATCTTGTGATGCGCGAGAGAGGAAACATTTTGGCTAACATCCAGACTATAACATCACCGTGGCAGCAATTTTCCCTGAGTGAGCTGGGCCCATTAAAATAATGGATAACATTAATAGAACAAACATTAATGGACAGATAACTATGGCTCCAAACAATGTAAGGTATCTTTAGCTGTGTCCTGCCATAATAAAAGGGAATAAAGTTACTATGTTCATAGTTTTACATACTAACATAAACACAGATAGTTTACCATCCCTAAATACAATAAAGACTGTACATAATTAGCTAAGTACTGATTTCTGCTAGTGAAGAAACAATACCTCTGCCAAGATGTTAACATTTGAATATATAAAGTGTAAAAATAATTCAGGGGGAT